ACACAGGGCATGGGCTGCCGCGGGAGGCCTCGGCCTGGCGCCCAAAAGCACCGTGTAAAAACATTTGTTGGCCCAACACATCGCTGGGTATTTCCAGGAGGCGCGCCCGGTGCCTTGGGACGCCCAAGGTGGCATTTAGGCACCAGGGTCGTCAGGCCCTTGCTCACTGGCCGATCTCGGAGGCGACGAACCTCCACGGAGGCTGCCTTTTTTATGCCAAAGTTTCTCAGAAGCTGCGTTTGCCCTAAAGCGCCTCAGCCCTCATCAGACTAAGCAGTTCTGCTCATACTTGAGCCCCTCAGGCCTTGGAGCGTGTTTGCTGAGTCAACTTCCACACACACACAAAATCGGGATGGCTGCTCCTCGAACTGTTGAAAATTCTTCTCGTTAATATAAAAGTCTCACTGCTTAATATAAAAATTTGACTGATTGAAGCATTCCCAAGGCAGAGGACCTGGTTTCCTTCCCTCTGTGCAGCAAGGATTTTAACTCTTATCTCTTAGTTGCCAGGTAAACATCCTAGTGCACAGTCCAGGGGGATGTGGAAGGAAACAAAGCAAACACTTTCTGTCCCTTCTGCGGGAACTGTGCTGTACTCTGAAAGAATTAAAAATGCATTAGATCAGAGAGAGGGAATTAGTTATAACCTAGCAATTATGGTACTCGGTTGTGAAGACCAAAGATGGCTTAGTGTGCCTATGTTGCAGACCATATTCTGCATCCATAAATCCCAAAACAGGCAGAGGTGTGGGGAGTTAAGCCCAGGGTGCCTTCTCCCAGTGAAGAGGCTCCTGCTTGACCTGATCCCATGGGCAAACGAAGCCTTCATTCTACAGAAACTGAGAGAGGCTCAAAAGAAGGGGCTGGAGCACTCCCCTTCTTCCCTATACCCCTAGGATAGTCCACAGATGGGCTCTTAGGATTCCCAGAAGGAAAAAAAAATAACAGTTGCTTTGGCTTCAGCATCCTGGAGGAGTTCTTTAATCATGAAACTCCTGCATAAAGCAGAAACCAGAGTCTTAGACTTCTGTATCATTATGTTTTGAAAGAAAAATGACCACGTAAGACCTCCAAGAGAATCTCTGCTGGAAGAGGTAATAGCAATAAAGCACCTGAAAGATTCAGAATTTAATGTGCAACCATCCTCAGCATTTCTTTAAACAGCTTGTTTAGTTTCTGTAGATCTCCTCTCGATTCTCTCCATGTATTTTCAACGTTGGAACTTACACACTTAGCTAAAGATTGTCCTTTTTCAGACCTAAAAACTGAGTACCACCACATTGAGTATTTCACTAATTGTGTTTGAAAATCTCTGGTCTGATTAGGTATGAGTATAGATATGACTTCAGTTATGATGATAGTGGTAATTGTTATTACACTTGATTGGAGAATGGAACATATTTTGTTTTAAAAACTCTGGTAACTTTGCATTAAAATTCCATTGTTCTTTTTTTAAAACTACTTAAGGGGTAGGTCAAGAACGAAATTAAATGTTGATGTCTTAAATTACTATTCTTTAATAGGAAAAAAAAAAGACATCTCAAAGATTATTGCTAGAGAAGACTAGCATGGTCTCTAGGCCTAATACCTGACAAAGTGGGATTCGTCTTTAACATTGATCAGTGCTGTTTAGTCCAGTTAATTTTAAATGTCTCAGGTAATGGGGCTTCTTCTGCTTCCCAAAGGAGACTTCACTTGGAAGTTGAGTTTCTCCAGTTATGTGGAGTTTTTTTCTGACAATCAGGTTAATGGAAAATTTCTTATGTTTAGGCTCATTACTTCTGGCTATAGTGCCCTGTGTTCA